AAAAAAAAAAAAAAAAAAAAAAAAAAAAAAAAAAAATGGCAGATTCATTGTACAGGTTCCAAGAAATCGTCTCGTCAAAGCTCTTTTAACAGGGCAGATTTAGCGTTTTTAAGTTTATCCAATCGCCTCTGTAAATGAGAATTTGCCGTCTCCAATTCTTCTACCCGGCCTTGAGTCTCTCTAACCTATAAAATGAAGAGTTTTTTCGACTTATTTAGATGAAATGGTGTAGAATTAAAAATCTCCACGTTCCTGCTTACTTCTCTTTGCAATTTCCTCTTTTCTACTTTCAATTCATCCTCTGCCTTTTCAGACGCCTCTGCTGCTGACTTATAACGTATTACTTGACTTTCTAGCCTGGCTACAGTGGCTTGCAAAGTGGACATGTCTTGTTCAGCTTTTTGAAGCTTGAATTTGTAATCGGCCAGGAGTTTGTTTGCTTCTCGTTGCACATCTTCGGAGTCTGATAAACAACCTAAAGAAAAAGAAGATTATTATATTGAAAATATAAAGCAATTTTATATTACAAATTTTTAATGAAAGCATATATTTTAATGGAGATAAATACCTAATACTGAACCAGGCGATCTCTCGGACCTAATACGATTTCTCGTCTCCTCTAGTTCCAATCTTAAATGTCGTATCTCGTCTTGCAATTCTTTTTTCTCAGATGCAAATTTTCTCAGCCGGACATCTATAATTTATCACATAACATTCTATTGCACATTTCTTTTTTTTTTTATATACATATATAATATAAATTATATACCTAATGAACCCTTTCCAGCATTTTGTAGTAGTTCTGCTGCTTCTGTACTGACTAGTACTCTTCGTCTCGGACGTGGACCGTTCTCAATATCGTTATCCTCATTTTCACTTCCTTCATCATCGATAATAACTAAACCATTTTCCTGAAATAATTTTATTTCTTAGTTATGAAACTACTAAAATAAAACTAGAACAATGCAATATATTGTTCACTTACTTGTATAAGCGTATCTCTTTCTACTAATTGTGCATGGCATACATCTAACTCGTCTTTTAGTCTTTGACTGAGTCTCTTTAACTGCTCGGATTCTCGATTCTTTTCTCTAAGTTCCCTACGAAGTTGTGCAACTGTTTCCTCCAGTTCTTCTAATTTATCTTTTAATAAATCGACTTGATAAGCATATGAAGACTTTTCATTGTCTAACTGAGCATTAGCTATCATAGCTTTTCTAAATTTTTCTTCAAATTCTTTTAACTCTAACTGCAAAACAAAAATTCATGGGTTGGTTTATTCATATTTCAATAAACACATTCTTTCGACTTTAATATATATTGTAAAATAAAGATATTAGTACCCTGAGATCTCTGCTTAGGCCAGCATCTTCCAGTGAATCTTCAGAAGATCTACGACTGGACTGGAAGTTATTAGAATTTGTAAGAAGACGTGATGTCCTTACAGAATCAGGTGTTACTCTCATTGTTCTATTCACATCGGCTGAAAATTTGAAAAAAGATTATTTTAGTTTATTTCACACATTTCATGCCAGATTCATTTCCTGTAATTTTTTATTCATGCCATGTTGGTTACATGTACCTCATATTGCCAAAACTAATAGTTTTGTTTATGATATACATTAGAATATTTATAAAACTGTAAAAATCGTTGTTATCAAGTAAACAATGTAATGTTAAAAAGAACAAGGAAAAAGATTTTTGTTTTAGCAAATGATGGTTACAATTGTACAATTAAAATTAAGTTAAAGAAAGAGAAATACTATATAGTGGTCTGAATGGAAAATTAAAAGTGGAGCATATGCAACCCACATAGCACAGGATTTGTTTATAAATTTGTTTAAAACTAATTTTTCAATTTGGTACCTGAACACATGTCATAAACTCTATCTGCATTCTCTTCTGCCTCTTTCTGCTGTCTTTCTAACTCCCTCATTCGTATTTCTCTAGCTTCTGCTCTTGCTTGTCTTCTAGCGGCTAATCTAGCTTCTGCCTGAAAGTATGTATAAAAAATCCATCCTGTTACGAAAAAGATAGTTTTACATTTAATTTATTATTAACACATCAACACTATAATAATATAGAAACACTCCCATAAATGTATTAGATAAATGATGCTTATTAAGGTTTACATAAAAATAACATGCACAAACTTCAAACCTATTGTTAATTTACATCAACAAATACTTACTTATATTCAGTTGTAATTAAAAAGATAAATATCAATAACAAATAACAATTGTAAAATATAGTATATACACTGTTTCAGATATTTAGTCATTTTCTCTACACATTTTCATTTATAGATAAACTTATCAAAGAAGATATAAATCCCCACCTTACAATCATGCATACATGTAAGCTCTGAAGGTCAAGCACACTCATAGCAACATTTACTAACTTATTTTGTTTCTTATTAAAGCAACAAATACAATCTTTAAATTATACAATGGACTTATATTTTTTAATACTATCTTTCTTTTTTCTGACTCCACCCTGTTACATTCTTATAAAATAATCACACCATACCTCCTTGGCTATCTGATCGAGAGCCTGATCCTCTGCTGAATGTCGTGCGGTTGTCCGCCTACGTCCAGCTATAGCAGACTCCATTTTGTATTCAGTGTTCTAATATCTGTGTTTTGCTAGAATATCAGGGACTTGAGCTAGATGGATCCAGGTCCTTCACCGTACAAGAAGACAAACCACCACACTAAAGGACAAAGGGACAATATGCTAGATCTAAAAATATGTGAGCAAGATGTAAAGCATGATTAATATATGTATTATGACTGATTGAAAATATACAAATGGAAGAATGGTGTTTACAATGCAACTGAACATAAATGAAGCATTAATGTTAAAACATTGCTAGGAAACTTGTTCATGATTATACCAACATTCTGATATTTTAATTATTGACAACTTAGTTACATTATGGACTGCTGATAATTATGCATTATGCAACAAAAATACTTTACACATAGACGATAATGACAAATGGGCAATAATAGTTACCACTTTGAATATTTTAAATGACTCATGAATTATTGAATATTAATAATCTAAATTTAGAATATTTTGAAATTGTGTAAAAGAACTTCGTACTTTTTTTATGAGTTAGAGGTTGACAATACCCGGCGACATGTGAAGGTCTATTCGAAATAGAAAAGTAAAAAGAATCTAGCACAGGTAAAAGGAGTCTTTCGTGGTTCTAACGTTACAACGTTTTCATGCTAAGAATAACATCTTCAGGGTACAGTCCGATTATGTATTTGCTTGGATCACTTTTGTTATACCAAAACGCGTCGAAAGATTCTCCCATAAAAATCCGCATTCGTCGATACAGTTGATGATGACGACGACGACAACGCAACGGCACACAAGATCACGATTTTAGACCACAAACGAAATAAAGAGGCTCGCAAACGAGTTATATGTTCAACGATATATATTTAATAGACTTGCACACCCACACATCACGTCAGACCGAATACATGCAAATAAGACCTTACTGTAGTCGTCAATCGTCTTTTTTTCTCTCTTTTTCTTTCGATTTCTTTTTTTTACAAGTTCTCCTAATGTTAAAATCCTATAGTTAAAGGGACTTACGATGCGAGAAACGCTGTCAGCCAGCGGATAGGCGCATCTTTTTCTCAAAGGAACGGCATACAAAAATAAACTGGAGGGCACTATAAATACAATCAATGGAAATCAGATGAGTTCGCCACGATGACCATCTGCGGCCAAGGAATTTAACAATGCGGTTTCCGTTTAGTTGATTCACAGGTCCATGGAATTTTCCGATTACTAGTCCGAATTACGCTTACACAACTTAACGCCCAACCTTCTACCTCCTATAGGCGAAAGCTTGTAAAAACAGTGCGTGTAGTCGCACTTAAATATAGCGGAAGACACATTTTTCGATCGAATAGCTTGAACGGTGATGCATGCGAATGCAAAAGCACACTGTGCGCCGCGCCTTGGACAACCGAAATTGGTGGAGTCATCTGTATATTACGATCTCAATTCTATACTCACCATATCGGAAATACAGTCTCTTACGAATCATAATCGTTTTCTTCTTATATCTAATCTTGATTGCCTAGTCTAATATATGTGATAAAATTGTCTGGAATAATCTTTTTCAGACTGTCAGTCCAATCAATTTGATCTTATCTCTCGTGCATATGTATGTACGCATATATGATACTATGATACATTTTAATTTAATTAAATTTGCATATTAATAGAAATTTTTTACCATAATACACACAATAACAATTAGAGGATTTTTTAATTTTATTTTAATAAAAAGTTTTTTAAAAAACCCCAGGAATAGTTCAATCAATTACAGAAAGATTGTTTATAGACCAGATGGTAAAGCAGATCGGTAATCATGATAGTATAATTTGAAAATAGTCCTTTAGTTCAATGCAACAGATATACTAAACAAGTTCCAATCCTATTTTTTCTACATTGTCGACGTGTTTGATACACACGGCCTACGTTTCTTGAATCTAACCTCAATCAAATTTGCAATGTGGCACTTGATGTTTTAACATATTTCGCTTCATTTCGTAGAAAATTTATTTAATTTGAGTCAAAAAAATGATCGTAATATAGTATTTCAGTGGTGAACCTTCTGAAATAAAGAAATAAAAATTTTTCAATGGATATGAATGTAGATACTTAGTGAATACAAAAAATGAGAGTGTCATTATTGCTAATTTTTCGAGTTTTATACTTTTTTGATGTATATGGACTCACAAGTGCTTGGGACAATGATGAGTTGGAGGTATTTGATGTGGTTGAAGAAATAAACCAAAATTTTTATGAGATTCTTGGGGTTACACAGGTTTGTTTTGTTTATTGCTTATATCTATATAATCTCTGAATGAAACAGAATGATTGGTAAATGAATATTTTAGGTTGCAAATGCATCAGAGATTAAAAAAGCTTTCAGACGATTGTCACTGCAATTGCATCCAGATAAAAATTCTGCAGAGGATGCAGAGCAACAGTTTAGAAAAGTAAGTCATAAATTATTGTAATAATGGAACATATTACAATAAAGATTTTCATATTTAGCTAGTTGCTGTGTACGATATATTGAAAGATCCTGGAAAACGGCAAAGGTATGACAATGTACTGATTAATGGGTTACCAAACTGGCGATCAGCTGTATATTATTATCGCCATGTGCGGAAAATGGGACTTTTAGAATTAGGAATAATTTTATTTTTACTTATTACAATTGGACAATATGTGGTCGCATGGGCTGCATATTTTGAAAAAAGATATACATATGTATGTGGAAAAACCATTAAAAACAAGGAAAAATTAGATTGCTTTAATAATTCATAGTAACATACATTGTAGGAGCAAGTTTTAGGTAGTAAACTTCAAAAAATGCAGAAGAAGAATAAGAAAGGAAAAATGGATGTGCCAGATCTTGCAGATATCTTAGAGAAAATCCCTACACCAACAATCTGGAACACTCTTCCATTCCAGTTTCCAAGGTGGATAATAGCCTTTACACTATCCATACCTGAGATTATACGTGTGATGCATGGTGTATTGGAAGAAAGGAAACGCAGAAAAAAGCAGGAAGAGGAAGAAGCATTGTAAGTAAAATGATATTTAATTTTTAAATAAATCACTTTTCACTAGCAAACATTTTTTTCTTAATTAGTATACTCGAGATTTATGTATAATTTATTCCAGAATGCAAGAGAATGAACAACTTGAATCAGAATCCACGTCCCGCACGAGAAGACGCAGAACTGGTTTCACTCCGCAAGAAAGGAGTGGTAATGGTGTTAAAGAGGTGTTTAAGAAAGAACAAACAAATCATATTTATCAGAAAACTGCTGTTTCTGGTGGATTATGGACGGACGATGATATATTAGAACTAATAAAACTTGTAAAGAAATATCCTAGTGGAACATCTGAGAGATGGGATAAAATTGCAGATGCAATGAACCGTACAGTTACCGAAGTTACGCATATGGCAAAAAAGGTTGCTCCCTAATCCCTTATAGATCCTAATTCTAATTTCTATTTTTATGAATAATTCTTTGAATGTACTAGATAAAAGATGAAGGGTTAAAACCTGGTGCAGTCACAGAGGAAACTATAGTAGAAGAACGTCCAAAAAAAATGAAAACACGTGCAGAAAATGTGGAGAATATTGGCGAATGGAGTCAAGAACAACAAAGAGCTCTGGAAGCAGCTCTTATAAAATATCCAAAAGGCATAACCATAGATAGATGGGAAAAAATCGCGAATTGCATTGAAGGAAAAAATAAGGTATTATATGTGGATATTTTACGATGCATTTTTCTAAACTAAAATTATTACAATCAATATTACGTTTCTAAGGATGAGTGTCAAGCAAGGTGTAGACAATTGGTGGAATTAGTAAAAAAGAAACACATTCAATAGCCTGCCATGTACAAGATGTTCCTTCAACAAAAAATGTAGTTCAATATTGATAAAGTCCAAACACAGAAAAAAAGAAAAGACATAGTATTCGATCTTAAGATGATAGATATTTCACGGCTGTTATACAACGTTTACAAGGTGAATTACAGATTTTTTAGGAGTATACTTACACAAAGATGATACATTAAGAGAGATTAAGAGAAAAAAGAAAACTTTATACACGGGAAAGAATAATTACTCCTACATCATTTTATTGTTAAATGTTTGTGGAGAATGTATTTATTTAATAAATTTAATAATTAATTCAGAGGAAAAGACTGACTGAAGATATAATAATTATATACTTTCCTGTTCTCTGAGACTGTATCATTTTAGCTTTAAAAATTATAAAAAATATTCATGCCAAAGTGTATAACACATTTTCCTATATTATTAATATAACTCATATACAGAGTGATTCGCTTGCAAGGGTACTTAAAGACGGTGTCGTCAGGAAAACATCGCAGCGGAAACGCCAGGTGAATCAATCCTTGCTGTAACTTAATAGGCTCATATCGCTCTTTTACTGAAATGGAGATAGTTATTTTCGTTTCCTCGACATTTTACTTTGAAATGTTCATTTTTAGATAACACATATGTATACACTCACAACTGTTTAGTATAGAACTAAACTATAGAAAGCGATATTGGTATATTAGGTTACGATAAAACTTATAATATAATGTTCTCGTGGCAATATTTTTTTGTTGGTATCCTCTTTGATGACCTTAGTGAGAGAATCACCCTATGTGTATATATAGCTACAATTGATCTACATTAAATTAATCGATATTAGAGCGAAAAATTACATTACTTGTATTGTACTTGTTAAAATCAGTACAAACAAATTCCGTCTTAAATGTTTTTTGAAGTCTAATTGAAAAATGATATTTTAAAGTAAAGTATGCCTTCTTGCATTATCATTGTAAATATTTCAAAGTCTATAAATTTGCAATGGATGAATTAACTGCCCATAAATTATTCTGTATAATTTACCTTATATAAGGAATCATAAATATTATAAACGCGGAATATTATTATAATTTCAACATCAAACGTATATTATTATTACGATGTATATTGAAATATTTATTACCTAAATAGAAAGCAACATTTCATGTAATTACAATTTAATTTTGTATTCGAAACAAAGTGAAGGACAGAATTATTATATCCGAATCATTTATTCGTGTTAGTTTTTAAATAGTTACTCTGTACAAAATATTATTTACAAATTGTATAATAAACATCTTAATTACGTCTTCTTCGAACCCTTGATATTCGCCAAGCGTTCGGTTCTTCGTATTTGTTGTAAAGTGGTTCTAATCTTTGATTCTTCTTAAACTTGCTGAGTTTAGTTGGATCACTAAATTTGAAAAATGCTGGCGCAAATTCTACCAACCATTTTGGATCTATAGTTGTCACTTCTCTCATATATTCTTTCGTAGTTTGAACTAATTCGTGATAAATGACCTATTAGAAATGAAGAGAAGAATTAAGCATTAATTTCTTTTTAATAATTACGTTTTTAACATTTATCAATTTACCCATTCCGGTTGTCTGTTGAATAATGCACTGCTTGGATGTATGTAGACAACTTGGCTATCTACCAAAGTTCTATATCCTTCTTGGGGGTCTTTCTTTGCAGCATTTCTAAAGAAACCAGAACAGACTGCTTTTTGAATTCTTACAGTATTTTTACCAGCAGATACTACGTCCAATTTGTGTCTGATAAGTAAAATAGATAATTAATTTATCTTATTAGATATTAGAAAATTGTATTTATGAATAAACAAATCATTACCTGTCCATTATACCTAATAATTGTTTTCGAACATCCTGAGCACGTTTTAAGGTTCTTATTTGTACAAAGTTTTCATAACACCATGCATTGCTAAATTTATTATTTCTCCAAGAGTTATAAACTGCTAACAGAGTTAAATGATCACCTTCTGGTTGATTGAATTTGGCTTTCTTTTGATCTGCTAAAGCCTGTTTGTCTTTAGGCCTATACAAATAAAAATAATGAAATATTTGTACAATTCTTGTTTATCAATATATCTTACCTATAAAAAACGTTTTGAACAGATAACATGCTGACAATAGTCAATATTTCATCAGAACATTGAAGATGCACGCTCATGATAAGCATTTTGGATAAATTTGGTTCTAGAGGAAACTCTGCCATCCTCCTGCCTAGTCTGGTTAACAGACCTTCATTATCTAATGCACTTAAGCTGTGCAATGATTCTAAAGCCATGATCAAAGACTCCACAGGTGGTGCATCCATAAAATCAAAGTGTAACAGATCATTGATGCCCATAGTTTTTAGTTGCAAAACTGTGGTTGCTAAATTTGTACGCTGGATCTCTGGAACTGGTGTAGGAAGCATTTCGTCCCTAAAAAGTCCCAACATTATAATCCTTCTAATCAGTTACAGAAAATAAAATAAAATTGTAAATCATAATTATCAAATCTAATAATATAATTAACAATAAATACCTATAAGCCCTTTCGGTATAAAGCCTATAACATTTTCCTGGACCTGTTCTTCCAGCTCTTCCTGCTCTTTGTTTTGCAGCTGCTTGACTTATTGGTGTCACTATAAGACTGTCCATTCCAGTCTTAGAATTGTATACCTTTTGTTTCACAAATCCTGGATCAACTACATAATAAATTCCATCGATAGTTAAACTTGTTTCTGCAATATTGGTAGCAATCACTACTTTTCTAGAACCAGGTGGGGCAGGCTCAAATATTCGAGTCTGCATCTCCGATGGAAGTGCCGAATATACAGGTAAAATAATTAATTCAGGTACATCCGGACCTAAAGATTTCATTCGTTCATATAAAATTTCGCAAGCTGTGTCGATTTCTTCTTGACCAGTTAAGAACAGCAGTATGTCCCCTGGTGGTTCTCTTAAATGTATCTGCATTACTGTTATCAATGCAGCATCTAGATAGTCTGTTTCTGGCTCTTTGGTATACATAACCTACCCAAAATAATTTCAGTTAATACTTTCAGTTAGAAAAATTTAGATATTTAAATTACCTCTACTTCAAATGTTCTGCCAGGAATTGTGAAGATGGGTGCTTCAAAGAAATATTGCGAAAATTTTACAGCATCCAGAGTAGCACTTGTAACAATCAGTTTTAAATCTGGTCTTCTTCCTACAGCTTGTTTTAGCAGTCCAAAAAGAACGTCCGTATGAATGGTACGTTCATGTGCCTCATCCAACATAATTACAGAGTATGTTTTCAAATCAAGATCCATAAGACACTCTCGAAGTAACATACCATCAGTCATATATCTATAAGATTAAATATAAATATTAAATAAATATATCTACACAATTGGAAAATGAATTATATACTTTATGTTGGTTTCTGGTCCAGTACAATCTTCAAAACGAATTGTGTAGCCAACTTCTTGTCCTAAACGACAACCAAACTCTTCTGCTACCCTTTTAGCAACAGACATGGCAGCTACTCTTCTGGGCTGAGTACAGCCGATTTTTCCACGGGATGTAAATCCTGCTTCAGCTAAATACTGCGTAATTTGGGTAGTTTTTCCTGATCCTGTTTCACCAATTACGATTAGAATTTGATTATCTGTCACAGCTTTAACTAAATCATCTCTGAGTTTGTATATAGGCAAACTTTGACGTTGTTCGAGCAGAGTTAGATTCGTTTTTTTTCCAAAGGAAGATTTCTTTCCTCCTATTACATGCTTCTTCCATTCGGGTAAATCTTGAGTTTGAAGGCCAATTCCACGCATATTTGCAGCTAGAGTTCTACTTTCAGCTGTAAAATTTATAAACATATTAATATGGTATACTATCTTACAAAGTTAAAAAATTATTTACATATAATAGATATATAAAATAGATTTAATACCTTCTGGTAGAGGATCAATCCAATTTTTATTAAGACCTGTTGGAACAGAATCCATTTCCTGTTCTCTCTGCAACATTTTTTGTTCTCTTCTTTCTTTTGCTAAAGCACTCTGCATCATTGCAGCTTGTGCTAAAGAACCATCAGGATTTTTTACTATACGAACAGGACTTAAATCTCCAAGAGCTCGTCCATGTCCATGCAAAAATGGTGGTTCCTCTTCTACTAATTCTATCTCAACATCTTCTTCTTCATCATCTTCACGTGGGAGAATTCCTGTTTCCATGTCAAATTCTGGTAATTCACTCCTATGACAAAAGAATAGAAAATTAAATACTGTAATTACTACATTGTGGAATTTAATTATTTTATTTAAATAATCGTTTTAGAAAGTACCTATCAATACAAGAAGCAGCAAGCATCTGTTTAATTTCCCATTTTTCTGGAGATGACAATCTCTGTACTCGTTTTCTAGAATAAGTTTCATCCTCATCCCAGTTACCCTGGAGTTCTAACAAAGAAGTAGGCCTATCTGGATTCCTCAAATGCTTTTCATCTTCCTCAGTTTTGGTAACAGCTACGACAGGATTTAGATCTCTACCAGTTTCCTGGTCTACATCTTTCATACTTAATGAAACCTGTCAATATTTCACAAAAAACATGTGAAATTCTTGATCTTTAAAAGATATAATATGTATTTTATTTTATTAGTTTTCATACCTTTTGTCCACCAATATTGAGTACTTTCACAAGTACTTTTTGACCTCTAGACACAACATCACTTGCACTGGCAACTCTTCCTTCTCTTCTTAATTGTGAAATGTGAACAAGTCCTTCCCATCTTCGTTTCAAACCCTCCATTTGAACAAAACAACCAAAAGGTACAATATTAGCTACTTTTCCTGAATAAATCTTGCCTACTTCTGGGTCCATGGAAAGTTCTTCAATAGATCGCGATCTAGATCGGTCGGATACATAAGAATATTTAACTCTATGAAATTTTCTGTCTCGTGATCTAGATTTCTTACGATCTCGAGATCTATGACGTCTTCTGTCTCTAGACCTTGATCGATCATGTGATCTTGAGCGAGATCTAGACTTGTGTCTTTTTTCTTTGCGACATGATGAACGCGATCTATGACTTTTTTTGTCTCTTGATCTACTTCTCCTTGAGTGTTTGATTTTTTTCTCACTATTATCAGTTGATTGGTTATCTTTTTTGTTATCTTCTTTGCTAGACTTTTTCGACGGTGCTAATTCCTCTAAACTAGCCATAGCACTGCTGACTACATAATCATCTTTAAGTTCCTTGTCACCTATTGCTTTTTGCTCTTCATTTGGTAAAGCTAAAGCAGGGAATTTTTGAGCTAGTTCATCTTGCTTCGTTACAGATTTCAAGGATTTATCCTGTGATTTAGCTGGTTTCATATGCTGTATAATCCTCAGCATATTAGCCATAAAGGATTCCTGAACGAATAATATAAGTCAAACGTTATAATATCTTTAAATAAAAGAATAACAAGGAAAAGAGCTTTCTACATTACTTACAGAAAATTCTGCACCATTTTCGATAAGAACTTTTTTAAATTTATCAAATGTATTATTTTTTTCTGCCAAATGAATAATAAATTCAGCTGTGGGAAAAAGAAACAATTTAATCAATAATAGTATTGGTGATAATATTTCACAATGTAAAAACATAGAAGTGAAAGAAACACAGGTTACGGTTCCATCAAAGCAAAATTTGTTTTTTATATCACAATAAAATGTAAAAAAATAAAATTGTACGTTTTTACCTAAATCTTTGTCATTTAGCCCCAAATGATTTTCTAGTTCCGTACAAATTTTTGAAACCAATGACAGATGTTCAAGCTTTGCAACTTCGTCCATTTTTGAGTTTTCACTCACACAGTTAAGAATGAAAACAAGCTTTCATAAATCGATTAAAGTTGTTAACTGTATAGTGATTACAATTTGGTTAACGATATCACAAAATTTTTTGTAAAAGAATATATATAACCTGAAGAACAATAATGTATTTATTTTTAAGAATGAAACAAAATAATAATGATTTTATATTATATCATAGTAAATAAAAGTTGTGTTTGATATACGTACACAAAAGTAATTTTTTCATCTTTTGTTATAAAATATAATATTTTAAACCTTAATATGAATTACTTTTTTATGAAATCATACTTAAAATCAATCTCCGTGTGTTGTGAAATGTGTAGTTTACTATTAAACATACTGCGGAAATCTATGGAACTATGTTGATATCACGATTATACAGAGAACGACATTAACATGTGTTAATAATAAAATTTCGTATCATTCATTTACCGACCGATAAACAAACGATGACAAGAAGTACACACATTTTACCGACTAATCTTGAAATACAAATTGATTTTAACCTTTAATTATTAAAATTATTAAATTGTACAGTATTATAAAGATATGTTTTTAAAAAATTGCAATAAACTTTAAATTAAAATAATATTAGTAATAATTTATAAAAATACATTTTTTGTAAGTTGTAGTAAAATAACAGTAACTTAAATATTAAATTAATGTTTCTGACATTAAGTATGTTTATCTAATTTTTATTTTTATGAATGAAATTGTCTGATTTATTTTATCTTCAGAATTTTAGAATGAATCTATATAGAATGAATCTATAAATATATGTGTAGTTTTCTATAAATATAATAAGGTAAGGTACATAATGGTGACATCCAATTTAATTGATAATAACTGTTCGTGATATATTTCATTTGATTGTGTTTATTGGTATGTATTATCAATATGTTCCTCACATTTTTATTATTTACTATATTTATTATTGACTTTCATAACTTTTTTAGAAAAATCACTTTCCAAGCATAATTTTGTTTCCAAAGTGCACATATGTAATTTGTTTAAATATTTCAGTTCAAAATATATTAACGTGAAATATATTATAAACTTACATTAATTCAAATTCAAAATATGTTATAGTTTCTTATTTCTGTAAAGAGATTTCCTGAAATTGTTGGTGAAAGTTTGATATATGATGGTTTAAGAATAGATAAAATTTCTCAAAAGTTTTGAGCTTATTATTGTTTGATTCAAACATATACTTTGAAAAGTGGATCAGAAGCTATACTTCACGAAAAAAAGAGGAAAATTGAAATTGCGCGGCAAAGAAAAAATACATTGTTTTGTTTGAGTAATTTATCATCAATAATCCTACAAATTTTGGTTTATAATTTTTTTTAAATATATACATTAATTAAATTATTGGAATGTATAAATTATTAAGTCAATTACATATAGAATATTGTTAAGAATTTCGTTCTAAAGTACAATCAGAATATACTTGGTTAGTGTAGTTTTCACTTTTCGAATAAAACACGCAGTAAACGTAGGAACTGTATATTGTTAGTTTAATGCGTTATTGTTATTGTTATTGGATGTTTGATAATATATTATTTATTGTTTTCATTAGAATGTTACAAAAGTAACGAAATTTTGGAAAGGCACATGGATATTATTGAAATAGGCATGATTCAATAGAGGTTAAAAACGACGCGGCAAATTTTCGATGAAGTGAGTAAACCTATTCGATTACTATTTATTTTATTATTAATATGAATTGAAGTTATTATCAATTCAACGTTGAGTTCAAATAGATATAGTTTGTAATTTGATATCAGTTTAAAATAAATTACTAACTTAATGTTTCTAATAATTAAAGTGAATTACTTGATACAATATTGCTGCATAGTATTTATGTAATACATACATATATATATGTGTGTGCGTATTCCGAAATATTCATATATGAATGACAATTGTAATAATATTTTAATGAATATTTAAAATATTAATATTTATAATTGTTGAGTGAGTGAATAATCATAAAGAAAATCTGAATCAGATAGAAATAATAGTGAGGTTAAGTTAAATTATTACGAACTTTCACGAACGTTTAAATTAGTTTATTATAATTGCAAGTTTATTTGATTATGATATTATGATTATAGTCTTCTGTATATGTATATATATAATCTGAAGCATAATTAAACATGACGTGGTAACCCATTACAAACCGTTGTATAAAGAAAAAAAAAGAAAAATGCAGAGAGAGAAGACTTGTAGCTAAAAGACTGAAAATAGCGTCTTCTGATCAAATAAAAGGAGCCGAGGAGGCGTCTAAAAACTGCCGAAGGGCACACGCGATCGAGGAATTCAGCTGTCAGACTATAAATCGCCTACAAGTTTGCTTTGTATTCAGGAAATTTATTTGGACATTTCTTTTTCGTGCCGGCTAGGTTGGTTTATGTCAGTGATGAATATCTTCTACTCTTGTTCCACGTGTATGCATTTTGGTAATCAAGGCTGCTTGATTTTCCTTCAGTTGTCAGTTCGTGCTTTTCTAATTGACACGTATCGGGTTTCTCAAAATATTCATTCTACCGTTCGTTAGTCACATTTACTTGCCAATTATATTGCTTTCAATTCAAATTTTTCTTCATTTTACATTGTATCAAAACGCATATCTGAGACACATCTGATTTTGTAATCTATATAAAATGTTACAAAAATAGTGATATAATTTAAGTCATTCGTGTGTATATCATAGGATAAACTTTGAGGTTAAACAGGGAAATTCTGGTTTTTTGTAAATTACCTTTTACTCCTGGTGAATAGTTGTAACGAATTAGTGCGTTTCAGTATTTGTACCGATCCAGGATGCATCTCGTTGGAGAAAATGCGAGCGGATACGCGAGAGGCGAGGTTGACCCGTTTAAAAAAGATCACCCTCGCATCTGTTGCTGAGCGCAACAGATCCTCCGGTTAGACGAAGAGGTTATGTCGGGTGAGATAAAGAGAGAATATGCGTCGAAGAACGCACGCGGTTCTCTACTTTTTTTTTTTTCTCCATCTCTTTCCTACCGGAATGACTCGTCGGTGCTGATGGCCGTTCGATTCGCTGTCTTGTGAATTTTTTAGCAGAAAGCTTCGACTACGTGGAATTAGGAACTGAAAAAAAAAATCGATGATCCATAGACTATAATTAGATACCTTAAAATCCTAGATATTTTAAGCTTTTGAATTAATTTGTTGGTAACTTTCGTGGTAATAAATTTTGTACATTAAGAAACAAGTTTAGTATTTAGAATCTGTACGTGTAAATTGCATTATTCGTTTCCGAATTACAAACCGAAGTACTGATATATTACCGGTGCCAATAACCCTCCACTAATCGACAACGAACGACTCCATAAACTTTCTCTTTTAACAGTCGCCTAAAAATTCTGGTGCAGCGGAGTAACCCAGCAGTCACTGCGTGTTCGGATCACTTTCTTCGAACGCGAATTCCGTAATTGTAATCAAAATCCATCGTTTAATGTAGCTGAGTCTATCGATCTGTTTTCTTTTTGCAGGAGGCGCTTTACCATATTTGCATACCCAGGACCTACAATTTAACCCTGGACTCATTAAAAAATCGTACGAGTACGTCCACTTCTGGTTGCTGGTTACCTCGTGTGAGTACGAAGCGACTATGGTAGGGATACAGGAGGAACAACTTACTCCTCTCTGGCTACATATAGAGAAGAGCATATCTGTCGGAAAGAGATATACACTGACACGAGTGCGAGAAAGACATCAGATCCGCGCGAAATATCGCGGAGTGGGGATATCCAGAGAAAGACGGCGTTGGGTGGGGAGTACGACGGAGAAAGACGTGCCGAAGGAGACAAAAGTAGGGGTAGGGAACTTGGTGGTTTAGTGGTGGGGGGGGGCGACCGCGCCAGTGGAACGCGCAACGGTAGACAAGGGCAGTGTTATGCTTATAATAAGCGGTGCAAGCGAAAAGGAAGACACGGTCTGTTAAGCGGGAGAGGGAAGCCCGTGGACGGAAAGAGCAGAGAAAGAGGAAGTCAGCAGGTGAGAGACAGAGTGCCGGAGCGCAAGGGAACGCAGCTGAATCTGTCGGCGAGCTGGCGGGGTGAGGGAAAAGCACCGGGCTTTTGAAAAAGTTTTATCTTGCCGGCGCGCTCGGCCTTTCAGACGCTACCGAACACCGGTACGCTGTTGTACGGTTCTCTGTGTCCCGCGTTGTCGACTTTAGGCCAGTTTGTATATCGAAGTTCCATAGCCGGTCCTCACAGTGTGCCGGCCTGCGAAGATCCAGATCGAAGTGCCCTTGGACACAGGACTGGTCGCGTGCTTCTTCTCCTCGTCATGCGTTGACGAGGTTCCTCGCCAGAGTCCAGTGTATAGAGAAGATTTAAACAGCAAGTGTAGCGAACAGGTCCTCCTCCCATCATGAGGGACTCTATTTTGCTGAGGAGTTGCCTGCTGCTACTACTCGTTACCGGCACTGTCCTCGTGGATGCTTCTGTAGAGGTAAGTACTACCAATTCAAATTTCATTCCCGACTAATCCAATGGACCAATTATTGACTATCAGTGCTACCATTTAATTGGGTACCTCTAGAGGTTCCGGTAACTTTTCAGACTGGCTTGAACGTCTGTAGATCTTTAGGATGTACCTATGTGACAGTTTTCTCTGGAAATGACTGGGAATTCTTTGAAAAGCTGCGGATTCGTTGAGTTTTCAGTTTATCCAGGTTCTAGAATATTGCAATTCGCGAGTCAATGGAAGACAAAGGAAGTATCTATGAAATTCTTTATTGCTAGATTCTATTGACTATAACATTTATAGGTTAGGTTAGGTTCAGTGCGTTATTTCAAGTTTCACGAAAGTCGGCAGTTCAGAAACCACGAGTCCTCCAGGTCTGATTAAAGAGTACTATGGCATCGAGACTTCAAGAAACCTGTGGATCCTCCAGGAGTACGTGAAAACAGATTCCTCCGGTACACTGATTCACCAGTGCGAGAGCCAGAAAGAGCAGAGAGTAAGGAATCATCGGCCAGTTGGCACGGTTTGATTGAATTTTTTGGCAAGGCTCGAGAGTAGTGTCTGCAAAGTTCAATCACCGTGATTATTCGCGGCTTGGTATCGGTGTTACATGGAAACGATAAGGATCTTCGCATATTTGCCGCTGTGAAACGGCTTATCTGTCGCCTCGATAGCTATACGTTCTCTAATACCTGATAAACATTCTTCCGTCAGACGTTTCTATCGTGCTAGGCGAAATCACGACTCGGATTGAAAAAGCTCTCGAAAGTATTCAGAGTTGATATTCCGTAACGCCTCTTTATCCACAATCGAACAATTAGGATTGCAATTGTATCTTGTTTCTGCGATTAGTATAAACTACATGCACGCCTTTCGGTGTGGACACCATCCACTGACATTTAAAATACTTCTTATTGTACTTAATCGTTAAAAATGTCGTAACCGAGGAGATATTGGAAACCATAGTATCGATATATGTAATAATCATATAAGCATCTTATGTAATCGTGTTTTAGCACTATTGTGCAATATAATCGAGCCGTATTGTCGTGTGAACTACCCCATAATCGAATGATATCTGTAGCAAGTTATCGTAATTAAATAGTATATCACGTAGCGTAATTAAATACCGACTGTACGGTATAGTAACAATTTATGGTTGCACTTTAATATTTTCCATGCTATCATTACAATACGATATAGCGACAATTTGTAGTTTATAAATTTAAAGATTCTGTATGCGTATGTATTATATATATACCGGGTGACTCACGCAACTATATCGCTCGAATCTTTCCTAAACTATTTGTCTCTGATAACTAACTCAATTTCGGTCATTAATGGTCCGAAAAATTGACAAAAGTTTCGATACACTTCACTCAAGAGTATCTCGGTGACCATGAATTTTTGACGGTGATCATTCATTTTTGACATCAGATAGGCATGCAAATGTAGCCAAACAAAAGAGAGATACGCGAAGAGGATGGCGACGTGATCAACAAGTATGTACATCGATCCGTGTCTCCGGTTCGGCTCCTCCTCGATTATTATTCGTAAAGGTTCGCACGATACGAGTAATTCGCTGGACTCGATCGTATTCCGATCACACGGAGAAGTTTGGAGGAGCAGACAGAGCTTGCGTCAGCTTTGCAAACTGCCAATCCGTCGAAATGTCATCCGATGCCGATGGATCTTCGCGTTACTATGCCTTCCTCCTAGCCAAACCTCCTTCACTTGACACGAGTCTCGAGGAAACTCCTATTTCACTGGTCCTCTTTCTCATGTGTTCTCCGATCCGCCTGACGAAACCGACTGGATAGCCGATCAAAATAATCCGCGATATCTCGAATTATCCAAAACTGTAACGTTCCATAATAGCACCTAACCCCCTTACTCCTCGATCCGTTTCCCAAGATGTTTGCAAAATAATTCACCCTACTACTAATCCGAACCGAGATTTGGCACGAACCTTAAAAGTTTGTCAATAATCGTCATACCTAGTCGATCCACCTTTCGTGATCCATCAGCTATTCTCGCGTAATACAATCTTAAAATAAAGCGCTCTGAAATTTAAATTACCCCTTCGTTTTACGTTAAAATAGTTAAAATAGTTAAACTAGTTAAAACGTTCATTTTATCGTAAAACCGTCATCTTTTTCCCCGATTTCATATTTCCAACTGTGATTTTTATTCGTGGCGAGTCCTGTTTGTCATCGTATCTTTTTATTTCCCGTCCTCCATACCCACGGAGCACCGTTCTTATCGTTTCTGCCACTTTTGTAGATGCCAGTCTAATTATGCGCGGCGAGATATGGCAGCGGCTAGGTCAGAATGATTGTCGCGAATGTAGCGAGGGTGAGTCTTTGATCGTCACACACGAACAGCGATTGCCTTATTGAATTATCGCGCGATAACTCGAGGATGATTGCGTTATCTATTCACGGTATCCAGCATCTCGTCGGCTGACGCATCGACGGAACTCGGTCTTCGGGACAATTCGTACGATGAAGCAACCTTGGGAAATTTCGTACGAAAGTATGCTGGTTACGTTATGCTTTGGCCACAAGCTTTTGGCTTGGTCGCAGAGAAATTTCCATAAATCTTGGAACCGTGCAAACGCGTTTATAGAATAGTATTTATAGACGGAATTGGAACAACGATCTTTAAGGCTTAATTCCGTTTGACGAACGTTTCAACTTTTATTACGATCAGATTCTCAATGATTTCACGTAACCCTGTGTTTTATAAATATACGTATCAGTGAAATGATAATTTTATAGCGAACGATTATTAATTGTTATGCAAACTGAGTAGTGGAAAATTTTGAAAGGAAAATGAATCTTTTTTCCCCATTTGCTTTTTATCATCTGCTGTGTTAATCGTTGCTGCTCATTATCTCTATCGCTTCTTACGTTTCGCAATGAGATTCAACTTGGAGGAATGATTTGCTACAATGATCGAGTCAATAGCGTTTAGAGAAAAGTATACCTGGACAATCATCTTAAGGGGGCAGACTGGTATGACGTAACCACTGTCATACCCTTTCTTTAAAAATTCGTAGAAAATGTTCGGAAGAAATTTTTCACAAACTGTATTTTTAACCTTAAATTACTTATAAAAGAAGTATACTACTATTTCGAAGTATACAAATACATTTTTGTGTATCTGTTAAGGGGACAGGCCAGTATAACATAACCTCTATATGACATAACCTTCTTTCAAAATTCATAGAAAATTATTGACAGAAGGTAGCCGTGTAAATTTTTCACAGACTGTACTTTTAACCTTAAACTACTTATAAAAGTAGTATACTACTACTTCGAAGTATACAGATACATTTTTGTATATCTGTTAAGGGGGCAGACCAGTATAACGTAACCTCTATATGACATAACCTTTCTTCAAAAATTCATAGAAAATCATAGGAAGAATGTAGACGTGTAAATTTTTCACAGACTTTACTTTTAACCTTAGACTACTTGCAAAAAAATCGAGAGAAAAAATATCGCAAGAGAAATATCGGGAAAAAATCTTGAATCAACCATCTGCAAAATGAAGCGGATCTCGATGGTCGACAGGATATAGCGCGGAGGAAAAATCTGCAAAGGACGAAAAAATGTGGCGAGCATAGGCAAACAACGTGGCTATCGCACTGACCACAGTTAACAAATTTAGAGCTTGTAATTGTTGTAATGAAAAAAAATCACGAAGTTGAAGATGATGGAATAAGACAAATTGTTCTTAAGAAATAATTTTTTGAAAAAGTTTCCGAATTTTTAGATGCTCAGTCTGTGGTCAATGCCAGAGCCACGTGTCTTGGACACATGTTCAACAAATTTCACAGTGATTGGAACTTAGGTTCTTTCGTTATGCCGTCCAGCATGGTGAAGGACGGTGTTCTGAGAAAATTAAGCCTTTGCACTCGACGATTTTTTGGTTAAAGAAGAGTAGGAGTTCAAAGATTTTCTGCTATAAAGCTGACGATATTTTTTCGAACAGTAAATAAGAAACTGTATAATAATTAATACGTGAATTATTTAATTTCAATATTTCGCACACCATTACATTATCTGAAATTTGACATATTAATTAATATCGATCTTCGAAATTTTATTAACTGAATTTTCTTCGAACTTCTTCGAAATTTCATCCACTGAAGGGCGCCTCTAGAGTGCAAAGGGTTAAGGTAGTGATGCGAGTTTTTCGAATTTTCAAGACAAAAAAGAAATCAATTTTTCTACACAGTGGTCTGTCGCCTTAGAGCTACTAAATTATCGTTGATAATCCCGCGATTAATTGCATCGTAGAATTAAACTATTACATAAAATGAAAAGCGAAAGATCTTATCGATCCGACAGCAAATATCCAGCGAATAGAATTATCCGATGAATGTTTGAAATAATTAGAATCATAAGGAAACGTATTCGATCAATCTTTGTTCCAAGGAGTGAAAATTCCTTTAGATATCTTCATCTTCCGACTTCAGTTTGAAATAACTAGCTTTTTTCGTAGTCACGGATATGCCAATCCTTATGAGAGATTAGTTGCGTGGAGTTCTGGAGACAAATTCGCGTCTTTGAACGAACTCGGACGTTGGGATGACTGTTCCAGGCGATTCTCTACGTACATGAACGTATTCCCTGTTAGGATGGCGTAGCGTGAGAAGAAGTCGACTGTGAAGTGGACGGAAATTGAATTAAAATAGTCTATTTCGGGGACAGCATAGTTACGGTTCATCGGTGATTCGATTGTCTCGAAACCAGGCTTCCGCTCCCGGAGTCCTGTCTAGAACTCGAGGATTCGCGTCTGCGTGCGTCGCTTAATTTCTCCGGATATTTTGGCGACTAATGGTCGGTGACAGGGTCAAATCAGCTGATTAACCTCGCGTGATCGTGTCAAGGTGTATTACACGAGATTTGGAACGTGGAATTCGATCAACGATGGACACCAAGAATTGGAATTTTTGGAACTGTTCAATCTTTGTT